TGAAAACAGTGAGAAAGAACATGACCACTTAAAATTACTGTAGGATGATTTGTTCATTAATTTATTATGGGTATGGCTTTAGTTGGTTTAAGGTCATTGCTTTGTATATAGGACTTGGGTGGTTTAGATTAATTATAATGTTTCTTATTTCCAATCCAGATAATTTCATGCGCCATTAAAATTGCAATGAACAACTATTTTGTGCACACTTCTATTTTACATAGAAAGAGAATTACTTGCCAATAGGTTTGGAAAAAAATACATCAGCACCGTGCATTACACCTCAATTATTTTTCCCAGATTTAATCTAAATACCCCAATGCTTTCCTTCCTTAAAAGAAATGCTTCATTTGCAAATCAGATCAAATGAAAATAAATCATTGGACGATTGTCAAAAGTGGGATGTTATAAAATAACAATGGATCATTGGACTACTCTTTATAAATAATTAGCATTATTAATTAAAAAATAATAACAAAACATTCATTTAAATAAGAAGAAATATCAAAATTGATGATTTTTAATGAAGGGCATAAAATGGACCCTGGCCTTAACTTTAATTCAGTTTAATTTACCCTTTATAATCTAATTTAAAGCACTTCAGCTAAACACATTTCCAAATGCTCATCAAAGATTCTGAAGTTTACCATATGTACATTGCTTTTGACTCCTTTTATCATATTAAGAAAAAAAAAACATTTTTTAAATTTGAAGGACATTCGCTGACAAGTGGTGAATGGGTGGAGATCAAGAGAATAAATAGATTATTGATGTCAAGCAATCCTGAGAGGGGTAAATGATCAGCTAGATATAACAAGAACATTAATAGCAATATGAATCAAGGCTTTCTCATTTCCTGTTATTGTCTGAAGTTATTTTTTAATTAATTTAAATTCAGATGGTTGTAAATACAAAAGTGGTCTCTGTAATGAAAACTCAGTGCCCTTGCTGCCCTGGAATCAGTCAATGCAACAAGATACATTTCCAAGATCAGATAAATGTCCTTCACTGACAATCTAAAAGAATTGAACCTTTTTACTCTTGAACCGAGAAGGCAACCAGTTTCAAGTACAGTATTCATAATCCTCAAAGGCAGTTGAATGTCACTCAAGCAGACTTCATTAGAATCAACACTGAAACTATATGCATTTAAA